ATAACAGAGTTTTTAAATCTAAGGCATCATTCTGGATATTTTCTATTGATGGAAAAGATTGCTAAAGGTAAGTTGCTGTTGTGTAGATAATGTTTATTTCGTTAAATATGCGTTCTGAAAGCTGTATTAATGTAAGCTCTGTTGATCTTGTAGATGTTGGTGATATCCAGTCCAGACTGTTGGACCACAGACCTGTTATCAGTGCAGAAATCCGCTTCTTTGTCAGAGAGTTTGAGGTAAGTAACATTATGACCCAATATAAGTTGATATAGGAGCCTTAACTTTTTAATAAGTTCTTTAAAATTTAAATGGGACCTAAATGCAGCTATGTGCTTCTGTAAACAAAATGTGAGTTTGTTTCCACTAATAAACATTCAGAAGGGCTTTGTTATGGAACAAATCTGTTTGGTTTGATGTAGGGATGCAGCTTTAAGATTATTTTTGCAAATCGATTAAGCTTTCAGTTGTTTTTTTGTTTTTTTTTCGATTAATTGATTAATAATAAGATTACTAAAGATTCCTTCAAGAAGTTTTTTTTTCACTAAATTAAACCAGGTGAAACAAAAAAGATTTCCACTCGAGAAGTTCTGAACTGAACATATTGAAAGACAAAAATGTTTTTTTTATCTTGAATGCAAAATGTTTACATATTTTTTTTTTTACAATTTTGATATAATTATTCATTTAAGTGGATTGTTCTTTCAGCTAAAGACATGTTTTTACAATCTCTATACTCTATACTTATAATTATTACTAGATAAGTTGAATATTATTTCAATAACCCATTAATAACTATTAATCTTATTTTTTAGCCCTAATGCGATGTATGATCTGTGATTCTGTGTGTATGTTTCTTTCCTAAAAGTACAGAAATCATTCTTTGAACTACCAATATGTTAAATTATTTGAAACATCCAGAGTATTTGCATGACCTGAAGATAAGAGATGGAGCTCTAAGGAGAATCAACGGTGATTGTTTTCCAACAAAAGAAAACTAAATTGTAAAAACGATAGATTCTTTTAAGTTTTCAATGTGCTTAATGCGTGAACAGTGCTTAATGTGCTTGATTATGCTGTTGAAATAAATATTATTTTAAATAAATATTATTATTTACAGGATTCAGCATTTTGTTATGCTTTATATATTATATTTAGTTTTCCATTTTATTCTCTCTGCTTTTCTTCAGGAGAAACGAGGCTTGAGGGAGAGCCGGCTGCTGGAGAACCTAAACAAAACGGTGCAGGAAGCAAACAAGCAAATGTTGCCCACTAATTTAGAGGAAATAAGCCAGAAACTATCCGACATCAGTAAGCGCTGTAAGTGGCTACCCCCTTTTTATCATTTATGACTTCCAACATTTTATTTTTATTTTAACAGCCCTGCTGATTGCAATTACTGTTCATTAAAAATAATTCTTGATAAAGAGAAACAGGACTTGTTGTGGCCACTTGGCAATAAGCATCATGATATTGAGCTGATTTTGTTCTGTTTTTTTCCTCTTCAGTGGAGGCTGCTAATCACATGGCAGAGAGAGTCCAGCAGAGGGAGGTAGAGGCACAGCAGGTAGTAATAATAATATTAGGGAGACAGTCTGACTTTGCATTTTATTTGGTACACTTTAATTAAAACAAGACAGGATATACACCAAATTTGATCATCTTCATGTCGTTCCAGAACANCTGCTGATTGCAATTACTGTTCATTAAAAATAATTCTTGATAAAGAGAAACAGGACTTGTTGTGGCCACTTGGCAATAAGCATCATGATATTGAGCTGATTTTGTTCTGTTTTTTTCCTCTTCAGTGGAGGCTGCTAATCACATGGCAGAGAGAGTCCAGCAGAGGGAGGTAGAGGCACAGCAGGTAGTAATAATAATATTAGGGAGACAGTCTGACTTTGCATTTTATTTGGTACACTTTAATTAAAACAAGACAGGATATACACCAAATTTGATCATCTTCATGTCGTTCCAGAACACCCAGATGGAGGCAAACATGGACAAACTAAAAGAAGACTGGGCGGAGTTTCTTAAGGAGCAGCAGAGGTTAAAGGAAGAGGTGGATGAGGAGCACGCTAAGGCTGTTGGAGAGCTCAGCATTCGCTTTAATGAAAAGAAGAAGGACTTGGCACAATTTTCTGTCTAATCACTTTTCTATTCTAAGAATACTTTGTTTTAAAGAATTATGTTTGCTGGTCTATCCCATTTAGTGCTGGCAGAACAAGAGCCCAAACGTCAGTGTTGATGAATAGATCAGATTTATTGATCATATTTCTGTAACCTGTGAAGCCCCACCAATGTCTGTAAGACTTGGTGATAAATTAAACTCAGGTTGAAAGAAAATCCAAATGTAGATCCAAAGCATGACTTTCCATGATTAAGTTATTCTAAGCTAAACTAATTGTAGAACTTGTTACTATGACTCTGACTTCCTGTGTGAGAGATAACTGCCCTTAATAGAAATCCTTCTTATTTCACAACAATTTTGTTTTTGCTTTTTGGTCCCCTTTTTTTTGTGTATATTAAATATCATTTGTCTCATGTCCAGTAATATATCTTTTTTTTATTTTTACCTTTTGCAGCATAATAAACTGAAACTGACATAAAATGTTTCATACCACCTGAAGTTTGAATAATAAAAAAAAGCTATTGTGAATAAATACATGCAGAACAAAATTACTTAAATTGTGCCACAGAAAATGTTTGCAATCATTTGTGCAAAAACCTTTTTCAACATTTGGTCAGCAACTGGTCAAGCTACATGGGCAACATCAGAACCTAACAGCCTTTTAAAAAAACATAGTGGATCATCTGACATCCAGTTTTTATAGTCTGCAAAAGTGACAATTATTCTGTAGAAAACGCATACCTTGAGGACCCTTTGCGTATCTGAGATTAAGTTTTATTTAAAGTCAATTCAGTTAACTAAAATAATTTCCCTTTGTTACAAAAAGAATTTGAGATTATTTGTAAAGGCTTTTTTCAATATCAGAAGTTAACATAAACTTGAAGCAAATTGTTAAATCCAAATACAGATGTAGCTTTATAAGGTTCAGATAGTTAAATCAAAGGCCTTGGTGTATTTAAAGCTCTAACATGATGCTTCTTTTTGTAAAAGCATTGCATGAGGCAAATTTAAAAGACTAGTGGCTCATGTTTAAGTCAACTCAATAATTTATTAATCCCTAAGAAAAATTCATTAAAGGGAATTTTAGTGTGTCTGTGCACAAAAAAACATGCAGTGCAATGTTTAATGCAAAAAATCAGGACATTTAAAAATAAACTTTGCATTAAAGTGTGCAGCAATCCACGCAAACCGTATTTTTTAAATCAAAACTGAAAAGTTAAATGCAACACAATAACATGAAATAACAGTGTTCTGTTCATTTAAAATGGAGTGATGGAACCTGATGTGTTTTCATTAGTTGGACTTGATATGATTTAAACTTTAATGATGAAACTTTATCAAATTTATTCTCATGCAACACCAAAAAAACAGAGATGTTGAAAACAGTCGAAAATTGAATGCAAACTGTAGGTTTTTATCTGTTATGGAAATGCGCATCGGTCTGTGAGCAGATGAGCATAAACCCAAATTTATTTCCAAAGGGACCCTTTCATTCCAACTAAAAAATGATGGTGAATAAGCAGATTAATTGTAATTGTAATTGTAATTGTAGTCAGATGTGTTGATAAATCAGGTGGACAAGGAAAAAATTTAATATGTCCATAACTATCCGCAGCCTACACTGCTTTGAGGACCTGCCGACTCACACTTGACTTGTTGAGAAATTTGCTGATTAGTCACCTTCTTTCAGTTAAAATTAAACTCCCCTTCTGAGAATAAGTGTGGGTTTTACGCTCCTTTTTTAGAGACAGATTCAGACTTCCATAACTTAAACAGATCAGAATAACGATGTGCGAGACTGGAGTAGCTGCAACGGCTGATGGGTAATAGTGATATTTGTGTTGCAGGTGAAACTGTTAAACTTGTCACCATGGGAAGAATGTTCCAACTGTTGCATAAAAAGAAAAAGCATTTCTTTGTTTTGCTTTTAAAATGGAAAAATAAAGACTTCTTCATCTAGACAGTGGTTTTATTGTGATTATCTTACCTGCCAGCAAATATGCTACTATACTTACAGTTTACGTTTTATTGAGATTGTACCCTACCTCTCCAATCCTTGGTGTTGAATGAAAAGAAATGTAATTTGGCAACATTGCAGAAGTTGAATTTAATGAAATCTTAAACTTATAGTAAAACATCAGGTGTGATGCTCCTTTACTGCACCTGTGATATTGTAAATTTAAAAAGTGTGCCACAAATTCTCACGGAGGGTCGAAAGTTTGCGTGGTTTTCAAGATGTTTTTGTGCAAAGACTCACTTTATACATTAGGACCTGGTGAATCTGATCAGAGGTTCTCATTATTAACATTAAAACTAATGCAGTTACAACACAAGATCTAAAAAAATACCTTGATATTAGTGACATAAGCTGTTATTAAACTTCTCTGGGTTTTAAGGCATGCTTTAATGCCAAAGCATAGAACGTAAGCGCTACCGGAAGCAGCATCTATCATGGTGTGAAATGCACAGAATGGCATTCTAAGAAATCCTTTAGTAATCTGTAAATGTCATAGTGGAAGAAGGCATAACATGGCTGTGATCAATTTACAAATACAGCAAAAACAAGTGAAATGGAGAATAAGGAAGTTTAGCAATTAATTTTAGAGAATTCATTTTTTCTTCATTTGAATATAGATGTCCTATGGTCTGCCAACACAGACTTTGGCCTGAGTGTCCTCTGTCTCCAGCTCTCCACTCTTCTGTAATTAGACCGATGAGGCTTCAGGTAGGGAGTTCAGTCCTCCAAAATGGACTTCTTCCTCTGAATTATTGGTTGCCATTTCAACCCCCACACCGGTTTGATTCTGTGGAAAAAAGAAAATGAAGTTCATGCAGACAAAGCAACAAACCAACGGATGAAGCTCATTGTAATGTTTCAGATAGAAGTTGAGCAGTTATCTACCTGAACCTGTTGTGGAGTTGGATGTTTAAATTTAATCCACCTGGAAGACATTAGAGAGGTGTCAGAATATTTCAGTCATGTTTTGGGATTGTTTGGATTATTCTTATAATGTGTTAGTCTGTTAATACCTGCCAATAACATCTATAAATGTTTTCAAATTAGTTTATCTAATTAGGACAGTTCCTCTTTCAGGATAAAAAGACATCTTCATTATGTTGTAACAAATATTTGGGAATGGAATGAGAGCGGTGTGCTTGATCCAAGAACAAAGTGTAATATTTTGATAAGGCTGGAGCCATGAATTTCTCCTCATCTGCAAAGGAGGATGATGTAATGATGTGATGATGTGGCAGGCTGGAGTTGTATAAAATGCTCTTTGTCATTTGTTAGCCTGCAATACCCTATACCTGTCAATGTCTCTGAAAGGGGGATTGTTAGAGGGAATTGTTGGCCTGGCTGAACATTTGAGCAACCTCGCCTGTTCAGCCAGGCCAGCAATTCCCTCCAATGACCCCCCTTTCAGAGACATAGACAGGTATAGGGTATTGCAGGCTAACAAAGAACCCAACATGCCCATTCTGAAGGGGCGGACCCATTTCTCCTGGCTTAATTTGCATGTTTTCTAAACCAAAACAAGGCTTTGTTTTTGGTCCACTCCATAAAGCCTCAAACTCAATCTTATTTCTGACATTTTTAGTTGTAAAAAGATTCCTGGATGGGAAGCGAAACGTCTTCAAACTTGGAAACAAAGTCCAGTAGATTGAGGACCACTTATTTAGATGATCAAACCGGAAATAAAGGATAATCCTCTATACCTTTAGGGTCTAGAAAAGAGAAAGCAAGGCTAAATACAGGAAAAGAATGAAAAACGAGCTCCAGCAGAACAAAATCAGAAATGTGTGGTTATGGATGACAAAGATCACAGGCTTCAAGCAGAAGGATGATCAGGTGCAGAGCCAATCAACTGAATTGTACGCTTCAACAGGTTCAATTTAGGAAAAAGTTCAGCATCCTACCCCGATGCCCACAGTCACGTGGAAATCCTGTCCTTCTCTAACATCTTCTCTCCTGCTTCTAGTTTGTTATCAGCCAAACCATAACATGATGCTGCCACCTCCACGTTTCACCTGCCTGTCTCCAAAAGTCATGTGAAGAGGCAACTGGAGAGTCTGAATTGTAGTAAGTCACCAAGCCCTGATGGTGACAGCTCAAGAGTCCTGAAGGCCTATGCAGAGGAGCTCTATGGGATTCTACAGCACCTCTTTGCCTTTTGCCTGACCAAGGAGACAGTTCCAATGATGTGGAAAACCTCCTTTCTTTGTTCCAGTGCCAAAGAAGACTCAGCCAACAGTCCTCATTGACTACAGAACTGTTGCACACATCATGACAGTCCTGGAGAGACTTCTGTTGGTTCTCCTCAGCAAGCAAACAAGCAGCTATCCGGACCCCCTGCAGTTTGTTTAGCGTGTGGAGTTGGTGAAGCAATCATATACCTGCTTCAACAAACCCCTTTCATTATGCAAGGCAGCATCATGTACTTTGATTTCTCCAGAGCATTTAACACAATGCAGCCTGACTTACTTTGTGAGAAATTCCTGAAGAGTCAGATCCAGGCATTAAGAAATCACCTGGATCAAAGACTATCTGACAAACAGACCACTGTTGATTAGACTAAAGGGCCAACTGTCTAATCAAGTAGTCAGCAGAACAGGTACACAACAAGTGAGGGTATTCTCAAGTTGAGAAGGTGAAGAAGTGGAGGGGCATAAACACCTAGACAATACCTGTTCACCTATACAACAAACAAGATTGGAGGCACAACTGTGAAGCCGAGGGACAGAGCAGACTTTACTTTCAAAGGAAGCTTAGGT